AGATAGCACACCTGGCAACTGAATGCATAATGTCCGCCATTCTTTAAAAACGGTAATTTAATTAGCCAATAATGAGCAATCAATCACTGTATTGGCGGTTAATCCTTTGAAGGAAGGGCGTTGTTTTTCATACGAACACAGGCACGACCCGAGTGTATTCAGTATAGATTAGTAAATCTACATACATAAACACTACCTTTTGACAAATCCGCTGTGTAAGATAAAAGTAATTAATCAATCAGCGTGTTATTGGTTAATCCTTTGATCGATGTTTATAATGTTGAATATTTACTCCAGACACAAGAAATGCCAAATGGGAACCTTTGTCGGGTAATCTAAGTGGTGTTACCACTAATTATACCTGTTATAAATTCATTAACTGACCATCAAGTGAATGATGACAAATAACATGTGTAGGTTGATACCTCCTAACACGGGTTACAACGAGGGAGTATTATTTGCTTCATTGCATGTGAAAACTTATGGGCTGACACTGTTTTGAGAATACAAACAGAAAACACAGAAATGGGATCAATTTGGATCAGTCATTATACAAATAAGGCCTAACGACACCAAGCGATTTTGACAGAATCATCTATGAAAACAAGTTGTAACTCGGAAACTAGGCAAAGCAGGAGACAAAATTATATGACAGAAGATTGTGAGAACATATAGCTTTCATTTTCCACAACAGTTGTCACGATTAAACAAGATAATTTACCCCCTGAAATGTAGATGAATTCTGCATCGGCCCTCAAAGCTATTCCTCATATGACGTCACAGAGACGCCCCGCTCTGATTGGTTGAAATTTTGTTTGCGGGTGAGAATTGTGCACAGTTCTCAAAAAGGTCGATTTAAGTTGATTAAAGATCGAAGTGAGTAGTTTCAATGACGGGGTTTCATTTATAGCGATGCCAGTTAGTGATTTATGTATTTGTACCCCCCTAGAGTATATGTGATCTTTAAAGGTGATGGGAAAGCAGAACAAATGTAACATAAGAAAGCCATCTTAAACAGAAGACATATCAGTGATAACAGAAAACTGGTTACATTTGTTGTTTTCTGACAATAAATTTCAAAAGATCGTCATCCTTGCTACAGTCATTTATTCTGAAAACATGTGGGCACACTTGATTTCTGAAAGGCACACCTAAAATATTTGCCTGGTGCCCTAAGGCACACTTAGAAAAAAAAGTATTTCTATCCCTGACCTCCTAATTTACTAGTCCTGCACGAAATCTGCTGGTCACAAAATATGGTGAAAAAGACAATGAAATTGAATAAAAGATGATGTGCTGCACTCTCACAATGTTCTTTCAGAGAAGATATTTTCATATGAGAACTACCTTCGGTAAAGCCATTTAATTTGCCAGACAGCTGACATATTTTACTGTACATGATAACAGTTCCATTGTCCTCCTCATATCGGAGCCAATTCAGATATCCAGTCTGAATTAAATGTCCATAATTTACTAGGTTTTAATTTTGAAAATTGATTGCAACTTAAACTTCAATCATTATGTTGCACTTTACTGTTGTTGTTTCATCAGCCATGGTGTTCAAACAATCGGATAACACAGTTGCTTTCCATAGTTTCCGTGACAACAGTAATGATAGTGACATTTCGAGGTACAAAACACATTGATCATTTCCGAATGACTTTCAAACTGACCAATCACCAGAGGCCCAGATAAGCTGCGTATCTGGGTAAAATACACATAGTATAGGACTAGTGTTGTACTGTCAGTATACAGGGCTCAATTTAAGAGATGTTTACCTACTTGCACCAGATGCAACCAAAGATAAAAACCTAGTTGCACCAGCTGAATTCCATTTTCGCTGCTTAGATTGCAATATGTAATGAAAGAAATATGCTATTGACTTATCTACATGTTATATTCAGAACTTTACCCGCTAAAAAAATGGCTTGCACCTGAGTGATTTTTTATGAAATCATTTCCGTTATATTAACTTGGTTTTGATTAGGTATGACATAAGGCAGAACATACCTGCTTAGTAAACTTACTCAATGACATAATACTTAAGTGAGTAAAATGACGGAAATATGCACATATTTGAAAGCAGTGGGTAACGGAAAATGAAATACCCACTCAACATTCATAATAACCACTCCAAAAAAATACAGCGGGTACAGTACCCACATGAGCTAAATGTTATCTGGAGCACTGAATCACATTGCTCGTAGCATGATAAATTTAGAAGGAAACTTCATCTTACTCGAAAATCGTAAGTGGCCGATTCTGAGTAGAAGAGTCCAGGGATTGGGATAGAGAACTTTGACAATGGGTCATTTTCAGGATTATTAGCCATTTCCTGAATTTAGAATGGGTCACTGCCCTTGTATCAATAGTAAACTTCAAATTGTAATGGGCCATTTTTTTATTCTAATGTACAAAATGACCCATGGCCACCGCCTTTCCCAATTCCTGAGTAGAGGATTATTTTAGCGTTTTTATTTTAATTTTGGTAAAATTTTAGGCAGGACAAAAATAGTTTTGGTATTTTATCAGACATGGTGACTGATAGCCTCCAAATTTATCAGTAATGGGCAAATTTTACCGGCCAAAATCCAGTATATAGTGGTAAACGCAAACACTGGAATCCCTGATGGGTACAGTGTGTTATATTGCTGCAGTCTTGCTGGAAGGGGTGTAATACATTAGGACAAATAAAAAAAAATGTTGTGGTTCCAATTACACCTCTTTAAAATTTAGGGTAGGTTGGTTGGAATTAATTTATTTTTTTACATTTTTTTTCTAGAAGCAAAGTATGAACTAATATAAATAACACATTTATCAATGTATATTGTTTATTTGATCAAGCTTGCGGCCATCATGATATCTCTATCACAATGACCGATGTCAATTGGTGCCGGGCAAAAACAATGGTATCTTAATGTATATTTTATTTATACCTCTTAAAAAAACTAGGGTCATCACCAGAATTCAAGGGTCGGTCAGGTAATCGGAACCAATGATTACTGCTACATTATTGATTGAAATGAGTACACAAATGTTTATGCTTGTAACAAGTCATGCGGAGAGAAACATATTACTTCCAGTCACTGACATCCCAATGAAAACACACAATGGAATCTATGAGATGCTGGAGGATTTATTGTTACCTGCACCAGCCATTTTTACCATGCTCCGGTGCAGTTTGTAAATCGCGAAATCACACCCTAATGGAGGACCTGTCTTGCGCGAATCATCAGCAGATTTGATCTGTAATATGAGAAACGATCAGAAAGACTGCAAGTTGCCAAGTTTATGGGCTGAAGTAGAAACTCTCAATTTACCTCAGTTATTTTATCTATTTTTTGTATGTACACATGTAGGTTCCACTACACTAAATCAGAATCACATGCTCCCTGAGCGAGAACCGTATGTAAACAACTGAAGAGACAGAGACATGTGACAGCTGTGATTGGATGAAATAGTGTAAGATGTTTATGTGTTTTAGAAGCACATCCAACCAGTAATTAAAACTGACCACAATTTTAAGTATTTAGTGCTGTCATGTTTATCACCATGACTTATGCTTACGGTGTGTACAGATATTTCCCAGTAGGTGACATTTGGTGCGGAACTGTAGTTGATGTGTTCCACTTCCTGTGCTCGGAGAATGAGCTAGACAATTTTTAAAGGCCAGACTGTATCCATGTGTACATGGAATGGCTGTTGATAGCCTGGATAATTTTAAAAATAATATATCAGGGATAGAAATACTTTTTTTTCTAAGTGTGTCTTAGGGCACCAGGCAAATATTTTAGGTGTGCCTTTCAGAAATCAAGTGTGCCCACATGTTTTTAGAATCAATGACTGTAGCAAGGATGATCTTTTGAAATTTATTGTCAGAAAACAACAAATGTAACCAGTTTTCGGTTATCACTGATATGTCTTCTGCTTAAGATGGCTTTTTTATGTTACATTTCTTCTGCTTTCCAAACCTTTAATAGCTAAGAATCGTGTGAGAGGTTCACCGTTTTCCATATGTCTAACATACACAATTTACTCTTCACTAACCAAACTATCAGTACTCACAACACACTAAATGGAAAAACAACCAGATTTCTTTACATCATCAATCATAATCCCAGTGATTTCCTGGACATAAAAGTCAATAAATGTTTTTGCTTGTTGTCATTTGCTTAAGTGTTTTGTTTGGGGATTAAATGACTAAAGGTGTGCTATGTCTCTAAGAAATTAGGCGTGCCATAAACGCACCAAGAACATTTTTTATCTGTGCCATTTCGATGTTTACCGTGTCATGGCACGCTAATACATGGGGTATTTCGAACCCTGTATATGGTTACTATAGAAGTCTATGGGAAAACATTTGGTGTTGTGTAACCTGTAGGGTTCGAGCGCCTCTGTAGTTCATACTTTACATGATTTCCTGTGTTTATTTCACAATGGAAACATGTTAGCATTAATGTAGAGGCAAGTTTAAAGGTACTGGGAGTAAAGATAGGGCTGTTTTAAGTGGAACAGAGTGTTTTAGTGTCTTGAATATGAACTTTGCTTCGTTTTGTGGTCGAACAGTGGTAAGAGACCCCCGTGGTGAGTCTTACCATCAAGTAATGGTTCCCTGGCTTCTAAATTTGTTGGAACTGATGAATTTGACAACATATTAGGTTAAAATCACCACTGCCACAACAATGAGAGTGTCAGAGTAAATCTCCTGAGGGTCAATTTTAGTCAAATGATAAGAATATCATGAAATATGTTCACTGCTGACAGCAGAACATGTCACAAACCCTTCTTTTAAGTGTAAACAGTGTAGCATATGATCAGTTCTTTCTGTCTAACCGCTTTTGCCTATGGATCAACTTAATTTTATTTTATTTTTTAAAAATATACCCCTTTTTGTTCCCCATATGACTTTAAAAATTATGTTTTGTTTTATCAACAACTGTCTCATTGCTGTTATTGATTTTATGATTTGACATTTAAAATAACCTCAACACTATTTTCAGCTTGTAGAATGCCTGTTGGTGAATGGGAAGGTGTCTTCACACATACAGCAGAAACAGAAGCCTTCACATCCAATGTGGTATTTCGACAAGCGGGTCCGGAGTCTGTTGTTGGCAGTGTCTAATCAAGCATACTCCCTTTGCTTCGATATGCTTTACCGCCTTGTAGAAGTAGCGGTACTTGAACATGTAGGTACATAATAATAATAATAATAAATGCATATTTATAATGCGCCCCTTCCACACCCTAAGGCATGCTCAAAGCGCTGCAGAATATTTACACTGGAGTATTTACAGATGAAGTTATACATAAATATACTGAGAAAAGTTGGGTTTTAAGTCTGGACTTAAAAATGTCAATTGTGTCAGAGCTTTTAAGGGCACATGGGAGAGAGTTCCAAAGTACAGGCGCAGAGTAAGAGAATGATAAGTGTCCAAAGGATTTCAGTTTGTAGGATGGGATGACCAGTCGATTTTGTGTGTTTGAGCGCAAGTTGCGTGCGGGGACATACGGATGTAGGAGTTCAGACAAGTAGGAGGGAGCCAAACCATGGAGGCACTTGTATGTCAGACAGAGGATCTTAAAGTCAATTCTGGCCCTAACTGTTAGCCAATGCAGTTCTTTCAACACCGTACATTTAAGTGTTTCTGTCCCGTTAAGGCACCACAATGTCTCACTATCAAATTCCATCACTCGGTCATCCTCATCTGTTTGAAATTTCTGACAGTGTTCCCTTAATGCCTCACTGTGCAGTACTTCAGTTTCCCAGACATGAATTAAGGGCTGTACATCAACCCCAGAAGCTGATTAGACTGACCCTTGTGGAATTTAATATTAAGGGTCTGAGTTCACATTTTATTGACATGAGAGTGTTCGATATATCTAAATTATCTCCCCTGTTTACCCAAATACACACTGTCTTTCTGTCACCCAGTAACGCATAAATTATTGCAGAGAAACACCGATAGCCCAGTGGTTAAAGTGTTCGCTCATCATGCAAAAGACCTGGGTTTTACACCACTTTTAGCAACATTCCAGCAATATGACAATGGGGGACACCAGAAACATGCTTGATATATTTTACCCATGTGGGCAAAACGAAGCCAGGTCTTTGGTGAGACAAGCGATCACTTAAACCACCAGGAGAGATACACGCACGCACGCACGCAAGTAATATTAAGGAATGGATATACTTGTCTGATTTATTAACATCCTGAAATAATATGTTTCTGTACTATTTTATTTCAACAGGTCAAAGTTGTGTGTACAGCAGTGGGGAAGGAAGGAGGTCTTGCATCTTTGAGGAGCACCTGTTCTGTATTCTTGGAGCCATACAGTTAGGTGATGCCATATCTACAAGCTTTGATCCAGTTCATTGTTAAATTCAGGAATCAGCCAAAACCTTTACCAAACCTCAGTAGGAGATACTTCACATCTTAGTGACACTTCTTGTGAGTAGTTCTGTTTCCATAGTAACCATGGAACATTCCGATTCAGGAAAAATGGACCATGACGTGAAGGCCAGTGATTCCGAAGTTGCCCATGCGAACTATTCTCCGTCCCACGTGTCCAACATCATATCGCAGATGATCAATGACAGTGAACCTGAGGACACAGCCTCTCCGCGTGGTGATGGGGAGGTCGAGACCGAGATCATCGATGACACTGGTACCAAGTGTCACGTGTGTACCGTCTGCCAGAAGATCTTCTACAAGCCGTATCTCCTTCGGGTGCATATGGTCAGTCATAATTTCGACCTTAAGCCGCGTTTGAATGTGACATATGCCATAAAAACATTTCGCACCCATCATCTTTGTCAATCCATAAGAAGAGTGCCGCTACTGACGGTCTTGTGACGGTGAGAATATGTGAGAGATCATTCACAAGTTTATCGCGAACTTCAGCATCACATGCAGGAGCCACATTGTTCAGCCAGCAAGGGTTGAGAACGGGATGAGCTCTCCATCAGAAAAGACAGAACAAGTCACTCTCAACTGAAAGCGAGAGTCTTTCATCATCAGAATCTTTTGTAGCTGTTGATGATTATCACGAATGTTTCAAAGGGTAAAAGTTCGGACAAAAAAATCCCAATTTAGAAGTGCGATGTGTTTGCCACAAGGTTCTCTCATCTGCTTCCAAAGATTTGAACAAACATAAAAAGGTACATCACGAGAGTAAA